TGTTATCGGATCCGGACCTAAAGGAACTAAATAAAAGACTAGTTGACGTATGGGTCGGTCAGTGCGATTGTAGCCCGATGCTAGGCGGGAGTGGAGAGTGCTAGCCGTATGTTACCTGTCCCGGACCGGGAGGACTCAGAGGAACTAGAGGAACTAAATAAAAGACTAGTTCACGGGAATCTATTCAGTCGGCAGATCCGAGATATAAACAAGGCGACGACGATAGATTCGGCCTTGTCTATTGCCACAGCCGGCTTAATTACTACTGAAAATTGTCGTGGATACTGTTTTTGATTTTTAGTTTGTTCTTTGAATATTTTTATGGGAATGTTTTAGTTTAGATCCCTAAAATTAAGAAATAGTATTTTATAAAACATAGTAGATATTCTGAATTTTTAGACATAAACAAAAAGCTTAAAGTGAGAAAAAATACAATTTTTCGTATTATTTGCTCCGATTGATTTGTGATATAGTTTTTTAAACTCTGATTTGAGTTTCCTTTTTAATTTTTTTTATCTGCAATAAAACTTACCTATATGTTTTTAACTACGCAATTACACGTCTCGTTATGTTTCGTACATTATAAAAATTATACAAATTATACAGATCATACTGTGAATAGTTCTGACTGACAACGAACCCCATTAGCAAGCAACGGGGATGTCAATGTTAGTCGGGAAAGTCGAGAACTATTGTGAACTAAAGACCTAGTTCGAGGAACTATTCCTCTGGAGGAACTAGAACTAAGGAACTAGTTCCTCCCAAGGAACTAGAATTCCCACCTCTAGCGTAATATAGCCGCGCGCCGCCACTGCTTATTTCTCACTTTTTTAATCAAAAATATTCCAATTTTATAATTAACTTTTTTTGTTTTAACTCATTATATTATTATTTATTTCCTGCGAAATGAAGGTACCAGGGAAATTTTGACAGAATCGCCCTTGAATATTAAACAATGAGCAGCAACTAATAATAAGAACATTAGAGGTATAAATAGACTTTTAAACGAAACCTAATATGTTCTAAACCTGGATCTGAGCGTAAACACGCACGCTAATAGCTCAAACGAAAATAGCTTGACATAAAATACAGTAGGCCGGTTTCGATAAACAACAACGATGCAAAAGCGGGGCCGCCTCCCGATTTTCGAGCTTTTGCGAAAAGCCATCGCCAATCTCACCATCGAGGACGTAGACTCCTTCAAATCGGCCAAGGATGACATTTCCAGGATCAGGATCATGCAGGACATTGCCAAACTGGTGTCCATTGGCATTCCAGAGGATGCTGGAAAGGATTATATGGTTGCCGAGTCGAAAAAATCTGAAGGAAATCAATTGTTTGGCAGGAAAGATTATAAAAACGCGTTAAAGTGCTACAATGAAGGGATTATTAAGTGTCCTCAAGAAACTGGTAAGTGTTTTAAAGTGGTGTTTATCAAATTATAGCTAGGGACATAATTACATGTACTAAAAAATACAAGGTGTCTTGTTCAAAAATAGATCCGTTCAGATTTCTTGTTTTTGATCCATTAGGGAAATCCAAATAATATAGAGCATATTTTACATATTTTTCATATTAAACGTATTTTCAGATTTATTTTAAGATATTTGCATAATTCAAAAAATATACCTATACAGGGCGAGTGTTAAATAAGTGCAAATATTTTCAGGGCTGGTAAATCTCGATAAAAGAAACATATTTTCTCTTTACCGTTTTTCAAATAAGTCCAAAATAACCGAGTTATTTTACTTCAAAAATTTCAAAAAGAAAAATGATTTTTTACTTAAATTTTGAGGACCACCGGATCTTTTCTGGGGTTTCTTTCTTGTAAATTTAATCTAATACCTATATTGCTATATTATCAAGAAATTATGTTTTTTAACTAAAAAGAATTTTACACAGAATAAAAATAAAATAAAAAATAGGGTGTTGCTTTAAAAAAAACATATGTTATACCCGCCACACTTCTTGGAAGAGCTCTGTAGACTCTATAATAATTTTAAAATGTGTATCAACCTTCCCTATAACTTTTATATTTAACATTTTTTGTAAACCTCGAAACAAATGAGGTAATAGACTTTATTCTATCGTTGACTCACCCTATACATATTTTGGGTAAAACATTTCCTCATGTATGTGCATATTTTACAAAAAAATTGGAAATGTTTGGGTTTCCCTATTTATAAATATAATTATTATGTTTTAGTTAAAGATAGAGAACTCCTGACCATTTTAGTATCAAACAGGAGCGCTACAAATTTCGAACTACAAAAATACCGACGTGTCCTGGATGACATCGACTACATAACGGAAATAGGGGATTACCCCAATCATCTTCACTACAAACTATGGCTGAGAAAAGCCCGATGCTATGACGAGCTCCAGAACAAGAAACTAGCCAATGAGGCTTACGACGAAGCTGAGAACAGCCTGAAAAACAGCAAGCTAGATGAAAAATCAGTCGAAGACAAAATGAAAGAAATAGAAAAGTTTAGGAAGCAAGGAAGTAGGTGTGTGAATCCCAAACAGAAGAAACAGTTGGAATTGGAACCTGTATTTTTCGAAGAAAGGTTCAGGGGTGGGGATGAATTTGTAGCTGCTATTCCGAAAATAGCTATACAACAGGACAGTTATCAGGGTCGGTATGCTAT